AGACAGATAGTTTTCAAGATATCGGCGCTCAAAGTCAACTTTCTGCTTTTATTGCCAATAGGAGCACTCCGGTAGGCTACTACGTCTCTTTTTTTCGAAATTTCTCGATTTCCACCACAGATTCGTTCATGACGACATCGAATTAGTCTATGTGGATTTTTTCAGATTTTTCATAAGCCAAATAAAAATTTCAATTTTCTCACCTAAGACTTCCGTACGATATAGTCACCGAGCCATCTTCAGACGGCCGAAAAAGCCAGAAAACGGCGGAAATCCACGCGAATTATTGCTTTTCCAGTAGAAAATGACACGCTGAATCGAATGAGATCATGATCAGCCCGATAGGACAAATAGTTTTCAAGATATCGGCGCTCAAAGTAAACTTTTTGCTTTTATTGCCAATTGGAGCACTTCGGTAGGCTACTACGTCTCTATTTTTCAATATTCCCTGATTTCCATCATAACGACATCGAATAAGTCTATGTGAATTTCTTCAGATTTCCTATTAGCCAAATGAAAATTTCCAATTTCCCTCCTAAGACTTCCGTACGATATAGTCACCGAGTCTTCTTCGGACGGCCAAAAGTGCCAGAAAACGGCGGAAATCCACGCGAATTATTGCTTTTCCAGTAGAAATCGACACGCTGAATCGAATGAGACCATGATCAGCCCGATAGGACAGATAGTTTCCAAGATATCGGCGCTCAAAGTCAACTTTCTGCTTTTTTTGCCAATATAAGCACTCCTGTAGGCTACTACGTCTCTATTTCTCGAAATTTCCCGATTTCCATCACAGATTCGTTCATTACGACATCGAATTAGTCTATGTGAATTTTTTCAGATTTTTAATGAGCCAAATAAAAATTTCAATTTTCCCACCTAAGACTTCCGTACGATATAGTCACCGAGTCTTCTTCGGATGGCCGAAAGTGCCAGAAAACGGCGGAAATCTACGCGAATTATCGCTTTTCTAGTAGAAAATGACACGCTGAATCGAATGAGACCATGATCATCCCGATAGGACAGATAGTTTTCAAGATATCGGCGCTCAAACTTAACTTTCTGCTTTTATTGCCAATAGGAGCACTCCGGTAGGCTACTACGTCTCTATTTTCCACCACAGATTCGTTCATTACGACATTGGATTAGTCTATGTGAATTTTTTCAGATTTTTAATGAGCCAAATAAAAATTTCAATTTTCCCACCTTAGACTTCCGTACGATATAGTCACCGAGTCTTCTTCGGACGGCCAAAAGTGCCAGGAAACGGCGGAAATCCACGAGAATTATTGCTTTTCCAGTAGAAATCGACACGCTGAATCGAATGAGACCATGATCATCCCGATAGGACAGATAGTTTTCAAGATATCGGCGCTCAAACTTAACTTTCTGCTTTTATTGCCAATAGGAGCACTCCGGTAGGCTACTACGTCTCTATTTTCCACCACAGATTCGTTCATTACGACATCGGATTAGTCTATGTGAATTTTTTCAGATTTTTAATGAGCCAAATAAAAATTTCAATTTTCCCACCTTAGACTTCCGTACGATATAGTCACCGAGTCTTCTTCGGACGGCCAAAAGTGCCAGAAAACGGCGGAAATCCACGCGAATTATTGCTTTTCCAGTAGAAATCGACACGCTGAATCGAATGAGACCATGATCAGCCCGATAGGACAGATAGTTTCCAAGATATCGGCGCTCAAAGTCAACTTTCTGCTTTTTTTGCCAATATAAGCACTCCTGTAGGCTACTACGTTTCTATTTCTCGAAATTTCCCGATTTCCATCACAGATTCGTTCATTACGACATCGAATTAGTCTATGTGAATTTTTTCAGATTTTTAATGAGCCAAATAAAAATTTCCTAAGACTTCCGTACGATATAGTCACCGAGTCTTCTTCGGACGGCCGAAAGTGCCAGAAAACGGCGGAAATCTACGCGAATTATCGCTTTCCCAGGAGAAAATGATACGCTGAATCGAATGAGACCATGATCAGCCCGATAGGACAGATAGTATTCAAGATATCGGCGCTCAAACTCAACTTTCTGCTTTTATTGCCAATAGGAGCACTCCGGTAGGCTACTACGTCTCTATTTTCCAAAATTCCTCGATTTCCACCACAGATTCGTTCATTACGACATCGGATTAGTCTATGTGAATTTTTTTAGATTTTTAATAAGCCAAATAAAAATTTCAATTTTCCCACCTAAGACTTCCGTACGATATAGTCACCGAGTCATCTTCGGACGACCGAAAGTGCCAGAAAACGGCGGAAATCCACGCGAATTATCGCTTTTCTAGTAGAAAATGACACGCTGAATCGAATGAGACCATGATCAGCCCGATAGGACAGATAGTTTTCAAGATATCGGCGCTCAAAGTCAACTTTCTGCTTTTATTGCCAATAGGAGCACTCCGGTAGGTTACTACGTCTCTATTTTTCAAAATTCTCGATTTCCACCACAGATTCGTTCATGACGACATCGAATTAGTCTATGTGAATTTTTTCAGATTTTTAATGAGCCAAATAAAAATTTCAATTTTCCCACCTAAGACTTCCGTACGATATAGTCACCGAGCCATCTTCAGACGGCCGAAAAAGCCAGAAAACGGCGGAAATCTACGCGAATTATCGCTTTTCCAGGAGAAAATGATACGCTGAATCGAATGAGACCATGATCAGCCCGATAGGACAGATAGTATTCAAGATATCGGCGCTCAAACTCAACTTTCTGCTTTTATTGCCAATAGGAGCACTCCGGTAGGCTACTACGTCTCTATTTTCCAAAATTCCTCGATTTCCACCACAGATTCGTTCATAACGACATCGAATTAGTCTATGTGAATTTTTTTAGATTTTTAATAAGCCAAATAAAAATTTCAATTTTCCCACCTAAGACTTCCGTACGATATAGTCACCGAGTCATCTTCGGACGACCGAAAGTGCCAGAAAACGGCGGAAATCCACGCGAATTATCGCTTTTCTAGTAGAAAATGACACGCTGAATCGAATGAGACCATGATCATCCCGATAGGACAGATAGTTTTCAAGATATCGGCGCTCAAACTTAACTTTCTGCTTTTATTGCCAATAGGAGCACTCCGGTAGGCTACTACGTCTCTATTTTCCACCACAGATTCGTTCATTACGACATCGGATTAGTCTATGTGAATTTTTTCAGATTTTTAATGAGCCAAATAAAAATTTCAATTTTCCCACCTTAGACTTCCGTACGATATAGTCACCAAGTCTTCTTCGGACGGCCGAAAGTGCCAGAAAACGGCGGAAATCTACGCGAATTTTCGCTTTCCCAGGAGAAAATGATACGCTGAATCGAATGAGACCATGATCAGCCCGATAGGACAGATAGTTTTCAAGATATCGGCGCTCAAAGTCAACTTTCTGCTTTTATTGCCAATAGGAGCACTCCGGTAGGCTACTACGTCTCTATTTTTTGAAATTCTCGATTTCCACCACAGATTCGTTCATGACGACATCGAATTAGTCTATGTGAATTTTTTCAGATTTTTAATGAGCCAAATAAAAATTTCAATTTTCCCACCTAAGACTTCCGTACGATATAGTCACCGAGCCATCTTCAGACGGCCGAAAAAGCCAGAAAACGGCGGAAATCCACGCGAATTATTGCTTTTCCAGTAGAAAATGACACGCTGAATCGAATGAGATCATGATCAGCCCGATAGGACAGATAGTTTTCAAGATATCGGCGCTCAAAGTCAACTTTCTGCTTTTATTGCCAATTGGAGCACTCCGGTAGGCTACTACGTCTCTATTTTTCAAAATTCCCCGATTTCCATCATTACGACATCGAATAAGTCTATGTGAATTTCTTCAGATTTCCTATAAGCCAAATGAAAATTTCCATTTTCCCACCTAAGACTTCCGTACGATATAGTCACCGAGTCTTCTTCGGACGGCCAAAAGTGCCAGAAAACGGCGGAAATCCACGAGAATTATTGCTTTCCCAGTAGAAAATGACACGCTGAATCGAAAGAGACCATGATCAGCCCGATAGGACAGATAGTTTCCAATATATCGGCGCTCAAAGTCAACTTTCTGCTTTTATTGCCAATAGGAGCACTCCGGTAGGCTACTACTTCTCTATTTTTCAGAATTCCCCGATTTTCACTACAGATTCGTTCATTACGACATCGAATTAGTCTATGTGAAATTTTTCAGATTTTTAATAAGCCAAATAAAAATTTCAATTTTCCCACCTAAGACTTCCGTACGATATAGTCACCGAGTCATCTTCGGACGGCGGAAAGTGCTAGAAAACGGCGGAAATCCACGCGAATTATCGCTTTCCCAGTAGAAAATGACACGCTGAATCGAATGAGACCATGATCAGCTCGATAGGAAAAATAGTTTTCAAGATATCGGCGCTCAAAGTCAACTTTCCGCTTTTATTGCCAATAGGAGCACTCCGGTAGGATACTACGTCTGTATTTTTCTAAATTATCCGATTTCCACCACAGGTTCGTTCATTACGACATCGGGTTAGTCTTTGGAGTGCCGGCCGATGGGCAGCAGGCGCTCTTGGCTCGAGATCTCCAGACGGGTTCCCGGCGACGGCGAGAAGACGTTGTCTCGCAGAGGGGAGTCTGGAAATAGGAGCGAGCGAGGATGAACCCCTAGGCCTGGGAAAAAATATCGATATATCGATGAATATTTCGATATATCAATGAATATATCGATTTATCGAATAACGATATATAATTTCAAAAATACCGATAACTCTCTATACCGGGAGACACAGGAGACATGTAAAAGTCTGTAGTTTTTTTATTTAAGAATATTGTAGCAGAATACCTATTTGCTCCACTGGCAAAGTGACTACGAGAATGTGGAAGGCCAACAGATTTTTGCCGCTAAAGTCATTTCCCCAGCAAAGAAAGCATTGGGCCAATAACTTCCTGGTAGTTCATTGTTTGGTTATGGTTACTATAGTTCTATTGACGTTTCTTGTCGTACCTGGTACCCGGGAAGACCCGATCGGCAGCAGCCTTTCCAGAGAGGGAGTCGGCAGCAGCCCCTGGTGGTTCTTGTAGCAATCATCGCAGTCGGACACCGGAGTGCACACCGGAGTGATGCTCGGTTCAATAGTTTTCTTGTGCTTCCCCAAAGGCGTCGGCCTCCCCGCATGGTACGCGTCCACGTTATTCTTCTGCTTTCCGTTCGACCTTGCGCAGTTCCTCATCGAGTCCTGCGCCTGCGCCAGCTTATTGTCACAGGACTTGAGGAGCTCGTCCTCGTTGCCTATTATCCAGGCGGGTCTGTTCTTGGAGGCGACGCGCACGATCTGGTTCACGTAGGTCTCCTTGGGGGACTTCACCAGGACCAGCTGCTTCTCGCAGCAGCTATCGCTGATGCCCTCGTCGAAGCTGCCCTGTGTGATGCCCCAAAATATTCACGAAATATTCTGCTCTAGATTTACTAGATATATTGAATGAGTTACTGAAACATTGAGAACTAATTATACAATAGAAACCCATTAATAACAAGAAAAACGACAAATGAAATTTATAACAAAGATTATTATTTCTCTACTACGAAACTTTGCAGTGTCCCCACGTTCATCTTTAAAATAACTCATATTTTTCATTATGTTGTGTATATTATTACCACAACTAATAATTTTATAATTATTAGTAGTAAATTTATGACAATTTTGTTGCTATAGGTCTATTATTATGCTATATAAATATTCAATTTTTTATCACAAGCTATACTCGCCGGCAAAAAAAACAGCTAGCAAAAAATTTATCTGAATTGGTCGACCTGTACCTTTTTTATTCTTGGTGTATGTTCATGTCTAATAGTGTAGTAGAATTCCGATAATTAAGTTACTATTTTCATGTTTAGGAGAATTCGCGTACATCGAGATCAATTTGGATAGGATGTACCAAGTACCTTATGATGCGATTTTCAATTGTTTATTGTCAAGTTTGTGCAAGACCAAAGCGCATCAGTGCAAACACCATGTCTGACCAATCAAAAAGTGTACCTTACTATTGTCGTCACTCTATTAATCTATAAAGTTGCTCTACTAATTTATAAAGTAACTCTACTCCGAAGGACCAACGCACCTGCAACGTGCTATCCGACAAATCGCTCTCCGGTATCGCGATCAGCTCCGACTCCGTCTCGTCCTCGACGCTCCGCCCCCTCGGCGGCCTCCGCGCATGCGCGCATTGCACGGCCTCCTCCCAGTGCGTCTCCATGCCGGCGGCGGCCGACGGCTTGCCGTACGCCGGCTGCCCCTTGCCGCCCGCGCGAGAACTCAGCGACGCCTGGACGGACTGCCCGTCGGAGGAGTACATGGGCGACGGCGGGGGAGAGGCGCGCTCTGGGTGGTCAATGTCTGCCCCTAGCGATGGCTGACTGACGTCTGAAACGGATTGGACTTTGAGTAAATGTCACCAAAATTGATTTAATGACATTTATTACATTTGCGACATTTACGGCGTTATAAAATCTATGATTTCTATCGATGACATTTGGTTATTTTGAGATTGAAAATTATAATCAAAATGCATTTAGTGGCGCTTATATTCTCTTCAATATGAGGTTTTATTCATGTTATTCTAGTACTCATTCGAAAATATGAAGTACCTATGAATTTTGTTCCATTTCAACAAAATTTTAGGTTATGTCGTGAAAAAAACAAATTCCAATACCTATCTCCTGTCCCTACCCTCCCTAGGAACGCACGATGTTCTTTGAACATTATAGGGATTTCCTTTCGTGTGCTCCAAGCGATAAAAAAAATGTTTGGATGTCGTAAATTACATTTTCGACAGTCGTGTGGCCTCCAACTAGATGCTGGTCTCTGATTGGCTTGAGCCAGAAACCCTGCAGCCCCTCTACTGATTGGACATGTTATGACGTGTGAATGGATTACGTTGTTTCGCCTATGTCTGTCCCTAGCTATGGATGACGCGACGTCTGAAAGGACAATGAATTTCGTTGTTTCGATGACAGTTTTGTACTTATTCACTTTCTTCACATCTTCAGTCCTGGAGTTGCGGTTAACATTTTTAAAAATAATCAATTGAATATCAATAAACAAATGAGCATCAGTCAGGGATCTACTGGTCTTGAACTACATATAAACAACGCCGTTCACACCGTCAGAATCGACTGGTCCTAGTGCCTACCGTTGATATAATGTCTTAATTATTATTGTTTACGAAAATTAGGTGAAAATCAATGAACAATAAATGATGATCGTCTGGGGTCATATGAGCCAGAAGTACAACTAATGAGAAGAAAAATGTGCTTCACCGCATTAAAATTGACCTCTCCTACCGAAATACCTAATTTATTTATTATTGTTTGCTGGTAAATAAACAAATAGCGGCGCATGAGACGATGTAGACTTGAATGTAGGTACATGCAATCACAAAGAGAACGCACTTTGTCCCATGAATGAAGTGGTAGTTGGTAAAATGGGTGTCTTGATGAGTTAGGTATCAATGTAATGAGCTGCTTTCAATACGTTGCAACTGCGGTTTGATCAGCCAGGAAAAAATGTTGCCTACCTCTGGACCTTGAAGGTGGTGCCCCCATGATGATGGTTGCTGGTATCCTTCTGCAATGGTGCTGTTGAGAGTCCAGAGTGTTGAGCACTATCCTGATCAGCGATGTCAACTGCATACAGTGGGGTTGCTGATTGTACTGATACTGAAAACGGTAAATATTCAAAGATAAGCGATTCCCGAATAATAAATCTGGCCCCCAAGTAGATACTACCCACAGGTCAAACTGAGCCAGTGATATGTTAAGAATCCTGTATCTTTGCTGTTCAAGGGAATAATATGTCGCCTACTCTGGAATTCTCCTGGAATTTATATCACTACAGTTTGCTGTAAACAAACGTGCGACAAAATCCACATGACTTTGTCAGTCAGTTAGTTTGGGTCATTTTGGTCCGGGGTAGCTGGGACGTCCCAAATTTTTATGATGTTTGTTTATTAGTATTTAGAAGATAATTTTTCAACAGTCTTTCTAAGATGTCGAAGTCTGTTCACATTCCGAGCAACTTATCCATAAAACAACTTGCTCTGGAACTATATGTGAAGGTTTTATATGTGGTACAAAATCAAACATCCGAAAGAACCATATATTGTTCGCTGTATTGCTTCTGGTATAATGAAAATACCGAATCCAATTCATCCCATGGTACCCCCTGGGGTCCAACGAAGAATTGGTGCAACGAGATGCTACAAGGGTTCCATTCCTCTTTGTGGACAGTGTGCAAAATATATCTGTTCAAAATGTGATACCCAATTTTTTTTCTCATTATCTATATCGATAATAAATGTTAGTTGTATTTCATTTTTATGAAGCTGAAAGGAAAAATATCACCATCGCGTCAATTTGACCCGCGGGTAGTAGTAACGTTATTTTTATCGGTGGTAGTACTTGCAGGCTAGACTCACTTTGTACAAGAGAACGACGAGCGCCATGAGCCAGTGTTTCCGGAAATGGGGCTCCATCGCCCACAAGCTGTAGGTGGGCTGCTGGAACTCCATGGCATTTGGTATGTAGTAGGGAGACGGGGCGTACTGCAGCAGAATGAGGCAGGTGGGCAGCACCAGCCGCCCCATCATGTGATTCTGGTCCATCAGCTGGGGCAGGTTCGAGAGGAACACGCTGAAAGCAGGCGAACAGCGCAAGCGCTGAGGAGGCAGGTACAATCCCCTGTCGTTCTGGCTGTAGCCCAAGAGGAGATAGAGATGCCTGAGTACGATTCCTTGAATTTTCGCCAGGCTCTTTTCTTCTGCTGGGTAGGCTTGGTCAGAGCGAGATAAGAATTGCATCAGCAGGAAGACAAGGAGGTGCATGGTCTCTTTGTCGGCTTCTTCCAGATCGATGACTCTCTGAAGGAAAGTCGTTAAGTTTTGGTCTTCCACTACGTTCAGAGAATGCATGTGGCCATCTGTAAAGAATTGTCCATCCGGGTGAATTTAAAGAGTGGATCAAGTATTGATCGCTTTTTTTTCCATATTATATACAATAGCAGATATTCGTGTACCGTTTTACAGGAAAATTAAGCAACATTTTCTCGTATATAGATAAAAATCCACAAACTTTCATGTCGGATGATAAGGTCGTGACTTGAATGTCTCCATGCAGGAAACCTTGTTGACAGTCCTTTGATTTTTGTCATTGAAAACTTACGTACATTCATGCGGCACTACAGCAAGACACTACATCTAGTTTCTACCTGGAATGCTGTTATTAGTGGCTAAAAACTGACCCAGTCCAAAACGCGAACTTTTCCTCTTTAAAATGGGAGCAGAATATTGACGACTGTATACCTTTTCTTTATTTTCTGTAAAAAATTTAGAATCTTCAGTTCAGTATATCATCAGATCTAGAATAGTAAGTACCTTTGGTCTCGTGACGAGTCACTATGGAAGCTGGAGCTGACATTGTGCGTTTATAAGGCCATTTGGTACCGAAACTAGCGCTCAAAGTTTTCACAGAACTAGTACCACTTCCATCGGATTGCGACAAAGCCTCGTGAGCCCTTTGAACTTTTCTTATTAGGGGCTCACTATTGGAATCCGAATTTCTCAAGTCTGAAATATCTCGACTGAAATATCTGATACCTCATTATTAAAACTATAGTTACCTCTCAGATAAGTTATTTCACCGGTCTTTTCTAGCGTTATCTGTGCTTCTATGAATAATGTATCGAACCGGTTGAGGAAAAATTCCCATGTAAGAATTTTTCTCTCGCTCAGAGAATTGTGAAGTTGGTAGAGGGATTGCAACACCATCGGACGATCCACTATAACTGCATCGAATTGACTCTCCAAACACATTATCAATGACTGGAAAAAAATCAGTTGATAGTATGCCCATCTTGAAAGGCGGGCGAAATATGCAACTTCGTTATCCTTAGGATTTTCAATGCAGAATTAAACAGTTCTTAAAATTTTGCGGACAAAATATACAACTTCGTTATCCTTTGGAACAAAACAAAAATATGTATAGATTCGGAATCCCCGTGACAATGCACGTGCGCCTAAATGGTTTTTGATGCGAAATTAGTAATTTTTGATTTCTGGCGGGAAAAGCATCCTTTGGCGTACCATTTTTTCCCGAAGAGGCCCTGAACCCCGAATCGACAATTCTAAACAGATTACATACCCGAATTGGCTGAGTCGTGGATGGTCCCGAGATAAAGCGTCGCTCTCCGCGCCACATACCTACACATTATTATCGTCCATACTGGAAATCAAATAGCAGAACGCATCAGCCAGAGCCGCCTGCAACTGCTGTAAATTCCTTTGTGGGCTCGAGTTCACGAACCACGTGATAACCGTCATCCGCTCCACGGCGGTGAACCTCACACCGCACCAGTTTGAACAAGCCCAACCCAAAATTGGCAACTAATCAGACATACTTACCCTAATAGCCGAATCATGGATAGTCCCGAGAAAGAGCATCGCTCTCTGCGCCACATACACATTATTATCGTCCATACTGGAAATCAAATAGCAGAACGCATTAGCCAGAGTCGCCTGCAACTGCTGTAAATTCCTTAGTGGGCTGGAGTCCATGAACCACGTGATAACCGTCATCCGCTCCACGGCGGTGAACCTCACACTGCACCAATCCTACCAAAGGACAGCGACGTTACATATCTTCACCATCAAATTTCGAAAATTGCTCAATTTTGCAACGAGAACCATCTAGGCGCACGTAAAATGTCGCGAAGATTCCGAATCTATACATATTTGTGTCCTAGATTCAATACATGATGTAGCTGCACGGCTGTTTCTTGAAATCAACCGTCGGAATTCCAATTTTCAAACAAGTCCAACCCAACATCGCCAGCTATTCAGACATACTCACCCTGATAGCCGAATCATGGATGGTCCCGAGATAGAGCGTCGCTCTCTGCGCCACATACACATTATTATTATCGTGCATACTGGAAATCAAATAGCAGAACGCATTAGCCAGAGTCGCCTGCAACTGGTGTGAATTCCTTAGTGGACTCGAGTCCATGAACCACGTGATAAACCGTCATCCGCTCCACGGTGGTTGACCTCACACCGCACCAATCATACCAAAGGACAGCGACGTTGCCTATCTTCACCATCAAATTTCGAAAATTGCTCAATTTTGCAACGAGAACCATCTAGGCGCACGTAAAATGTCGCGAAGATTCCGAATCTATACATATTTGTGTCCTAGATTCAATACATGATGTAGCTGCACGGCTGTTTCTTGAAATCAACCGTCGGAATTCCAATTTTCAAACAAGTCCAACCCAACATCGCCAGCTATTCAGACATACTCACCCTGATAGCCGAATCATGGATGGTCCCGAGATAGAGCGTCGCTCTCTGCGCCACATACACATTATTATCGTGCATACTGGAAATCAAATAGCAGAACGCATTAGCCAGAGTCGCCTGCAACTGGTGTGAATTCCTTAGTGGACTCGAGTCCATGAACCACGTGATAAACCGTCATCCGCTCCACGGTGGTTGACCTCACACCGCACCAATCATACCAAAGGACAGCGACGTTGCCTATCTTCACCATCAAATTTCGAAAATTGCTCAATTTTGCATTGAAAACCATCCAGGCGCACGTAAAATGTCAATCAATAATATACTTTATTGTCCAAGAATAATTTCTTATTGACAAAGTGAGGAAATACATAGTATACCTATACTTGAAGAAACCATGATATAAAATATATTATGAATTTCGTTTTCACACTCAAAATGAATAAATAAATAATGAGATATGTCACAATAAAATAGTAGAAAACAATAACAATGTATAAGTGAACAAAATAACACTAAGGTAAATCAAATAATAACAGAACAATGTATGCGTGAACAGAACAAGGTAGACATGCATATATGATAATAAAAGTATAAGACTAGAATCGGGAGTTACCTCGTACTCTTAGTTAGTAGACCTATCATCAAAAAATTCTTGAAGATTATAATATGATTTACTTATTAGATGTTCCTTTACTGCTTGCCTGAATTTATTGAGTAGAGGTATAGTTCTCAAGGTCAGAGGTAAATGGTTATACATCTTCTTACCGTTGTAAATTATCGAATGCTTTGTGAGATTGGAAATGGGTTTAGGTAGAGGCAAGTTGGATGCTTGTCTAGTCTGATGATGTGCATTAGCTTTTACGGTTAGCGAATATTTTTTATGTATTAAACATACCGTTTCTATTATGAAAATACATGGTAAGGTGAGGATTTTTTGCGCTTGGAATAAGGGCTTGCAGTGGTCACGAAATTTAGCATTACACATGTATCTTATAGCCCTCGTTTGGAGTGCGAACACAGAATTGAATAAATTCTGGTTACAGACACCCCAAAAGGTAACGCCATACCGTAAATGTGACTCTATTAATGAAAAATATACCATTCTTGCAACAGTAACTCCTAACTCTTTAGCAACTACTCTGACAGCATAACACCCCGGTGCCAATTTTTTATTCAAGTTCATCACATGGCTATCAAATTTTGATCGTTTATCAATATACAGCCCAAGAAACTTAGAGTAACATTTACTTTCGATAATAACCTGTGTGTCCAATATAATATTATCTAGAGAGTATTTAAATGTCATTAGATTTGTTTTGGAGAAATTTAATGAGAGCAGGTTACAGTCGCACCATTCCTTTACTATTTGAAGATCATTAGTGACAGTCTTATTCAAGTCAACATCGGTAGCTAATCAGACATACTTACCCTGATAGCCGAATCATGGATGGTCCCGAGATAGAGCGTCGCTCTCTGCGCCACATACACATTATTATCGTCCATACTGGAAATCAAATAGCAGAACGCATTTGCCAAAGCAGCCTGCAACTGCTGTAAATTCCTCAGTGGGCTGGAGTCCATGAACCGCGTGATCACCGTCACCCGCTCCACGGCCGTGAACCTCACGCACCAATCGGGGCTGTGGAACGCCTCCTGGATGACACGCCAGAAGACGTCAGAGCCGGCAGGCAACGTGATACAGTGCAGCAGCAGCGGCACCACGGTCTGGCAGATGTGCGAGTACTCCGAGTTGCACAGGTCCCAGAAGCTGCAACAGATTGGAGGATGCGAATGGTGAGCGGTTCGTTTGTGGGCGTTGTGCGTCTTTCCCCCCCATGGTGAGTATGCACGAGCAAGCACCTTACCCGTTCTATCTTACGTAGGTTAGAACTGTCAGAAGTTGCCAGTGACAAAGAGAGAAAGAGAGTCATACGCTTTTTCTGCGTTTTGCGTGATGCGGTATGCGTGACGCTTTTTCCTGTTTTTCACTCTTAATTTCGTATTTTACGCTTCAGCACGCTTTTTTGAAGTCTTCACGCATTTTGACACTTGGTTAAACGTTTTCAGGCAAGCGTGATGATTTTTCTCGTTTTTCACGCTCTATCAAAGCTACATCACGTCTTTCTTAAAAATTTATATATAAGTATATTTAATTTTTTAAGCTTTATTCACGCATTTTTACGTTTTTACGCTTCATCACGCTTTATTGAAAATGTTTCATAGATTTAACTCATACGAAAATGTTTTATAGCAAGTCAGTGTTGAAATCGAAATCGAAAGGATTGAAAAAATAAAACAAACATGACATGACAAGGTAGCATCCTTGATAATCCATAGCATCGTGAATCATAACATTAGGGTTCGTTTAATTTCACCAAACTGATCGAGTAATTTATATCAATTCAACGAAAGAATTTCACACTTTTCCAATAGGAGCTAGGTTAGACTGGCAGCCATCTCGTATACTAACCATAGGAAAGATAGTGGTTCAGGGAAGCGGTTTCCCTATAGTTGCATTAATTATTTGTTTGATGTATGTCTTGTTGTTGACCCCATACGCCACCTCAGAAGCGATACTTCTTGCAAGAATTGTGAAACGCTCTACGCCATATCGTCATATTACTTTGAGAAGCTACTGATATAATTATTTTTCTAAATGAACTACTTGAAGAATAGAAAATAATCACGTACTTCTTGATGAGCAAATTTTCCTGACACCAAATGAAGAAGCCCCGATGATCTCTGGAAGCTTTAGTACAAGCGTCGCCATGTAGAATGAGCACATTCAAACACTGCAACATGTAGTACAAAATGTCGGGCTTGCTAACATTAGATAATTCCTGAAGTAATTGGTGTATGTACTGGAGCGGTTGAGGTAGATCGTCGACATTGAATCTAAATTTCCCTACTGAGGTTTGCCAAAAATTATCTATGTCCTCTCCAGAATCTGTCTCCACAGGTTCATCATTCTCTCCAATCACTTGCGCTCTCACCACCAGAGCTGTAGCTGTTGCTAGAACAATATCCAGGAAATTAGAGATCGGAAATGTGGCCACAGCAAAATAAAGACTCACCGACATCAGACTCAGAGAGCGTGATGGCCCTGGCGTACGCTGATACAACCCTTTCTGCTGGTATGATAGGCAAGTCAAGTTGCTCTGACACCGTTTCCACCGTGGCTGTCATTATCTGAAACGCAAATCACGTCAGCTTTCGACTGTTATATTCAGTTTCAGGCAGCAGAATTTCCAAATGGAAATTCTGCCGCTCTCAAACCAATTCTTTCGGTTTGAGTTTTTATACTCCTCGTACAGAACACACGTGTGGCATGTGTACTAGAACTCCTCCTACTGAGTGCACTTCCGGGTTCGGCATGTTGATCACCGCATCGGTTTTCGCTTCCTTCTTATCGCTCTCCGGCGGACTCTTTCTGCTGTGGACGTCTTCCGAAATTTCCTCCAGAGGTGGCTGCAACAACAAAAAACACATTTCCTCTTCCTCACCTCAGACTAAATATCTATAGACAACGCGATTCATTCATAAATCATCAAGAAGTTTACACAACAACCCTGAACGCCAAACACAGATAAACGAACGAAATCGCGAATGATGAGGATAACTCTGCGAATCTCTGATCTAATAAATCAGGAGTTTTGTAAATGTGTGCATAAATAAACCCTCACGTGATGTAACATGATGATACGTCATTTTGTAACGTCTAAGTGAGGTTATTTGATATTCTTAATATTTTGAACACGTGTTTCATTAACAAAAGCAATCCCTCTCAAACAAGACCGCCACTGAAACAAACTTCTACGTACCTGGGAGATATCAGGTATGAACTAACTTTTCTCTACAGATTTTATACTGCCGAACCATATTTTGCTTTTTGATTCATAATATTGAATGAGTTACTGAAACACCTAAAACTAATTATACAACAGCCATTGATAACAACATATAACGGCAAAATAAGTTTATATTATAATTATATATAGGTAGTGAATTTCTTTCAATTATGTTGTTATGGGTGTATTATTATGTTATAAAGGTTGTTCTATTTTTTGTCATAATCTATTCATGCCGACGTCGATTTGGCAGGGGTTCCGCAGAGATCCAGGAACTACGTTTCTTACAATTATGCTGTTATGGTTGTTATTATGTTATAAAGGTTGTTCTATTCTTTGTTAAAATCTATCTACGCCGAGTTGAATGAGGTTTTTTTCCAAAAAATTCTCCAAATGTCGATTTGGCAGCGGTTCCACAGAGGTCCTTAGATTACGTTGGGTTAGACAGGGTTAGACAGGTAATCATTGTTATCTCAGTTTGTGGTTCCCATTATCAGCTCGAAACCTCGAGAAAGACCATACTCAGTATTTATGAACTTAACTTTTCACATAAGAAAGTGGTCAAAATGGTCCAGAACCTGCTCAGTACCGTCACTGATGTCTTTTCCGCAAAATAAATAAGCATCTCTTTCTACTCACATCTGTTGGATGAGCTGAAAACACCGGCGACGAATACTTTTCACAAGATACTCAAATTATAAATGCACATTCACATATTTATATAGAAATCCTGATTTGATAGATATATAAAATATATCTGTACCATAGAATATCAATTCTCTAGCAATGATTCTGCAGTTATCCCCACCATTCGTGATTTCTTTCGTTTATCGATGTTTGGCGTTTTGAATTGTTGGTGTATACTTTTTAAAGATTATAATGAATGAATCGCTGTACCTTTCTATTGATATTTCATCTGAGAATATAATTTCCCTACTCACATCTGGCGGATGAGCCGGAAAAACCGGTGACAAGTACTTGAGCAGCTCCAGCGAGAGCTGATGCCACATGATGCTCGACTCGCAATAAGTGCACTCCGACTTGGAGGAGCAGCTGTGGTTGCCTATCCAGGCGGCCGTGACCATGCTCTTCAGTAGCCAGCAGACGTCCTTGCACAGCGTCGAATTGAGTCCTGTGTGCTTGTCAGTGTCCTGCAGCTCCATCTGCTTCAGCAGTATGTCGAGCATCAGCAGACAGCAAAACAGGTTATGTTCGGCGCCGGTTTCGAATTCTGCTTGTTGCGACAAGCGACTTTCCTCATCTGAAAATGATGATGTCTTTGCTGAGTCTCCTTCTTCTACAAGGGGCGCTGCTGCAAGAGCAAAAACAGGTGTGGACGACGTCACACTTTAGCTACTCTAGCAACTACTCATTTTCTACAGTGTGTTTCGCTTCAAGAGTGTAACTGTCCTCGTATTTCGTAGTAGAAAAAACGATTCAAAAATGTTTGTTTCTACAGGGTGGGGACTTTAACTGGAATTAATTCTCTAGCGGGGAGGTGAATGATTTTTCTGATAATTAGCGAGACACATTAACGTTTTAATGTATTTACCTTCATTTTGCGAGCAATATGACTGGAATTAATTCTCTAGCGGGGAGGTGAATGATTTTTCTGATAATTAGCGAGACACATTAACGTTTTAATGCATTTACCTACATTTTGCGGGCAATATGAAGATTATAACCCTTAAGAGGTAGCCAGAATCAGCAGCAACACGTGTTTGTCAAATACAACTCTATATGGCTAGCGTACTGAAAACATAATTTTGAATTTTAATATATAGGGTGTCCCTAGAAGGGCTGTACAAAATCTTAGCACATATTTCTGAAGTCAAAAATGGATACAGGGTGGTAAGTTAAAAAATAAGTACACTCCAAAAAAATATTTTGAAAAATCAATTTTTGCACTGCTTATTCACTGGCGAAATCACAACCACGAAGATAACAGCAAACATCCTTCATTCAATATTATTAAAATATTCCGGTGCGGCATCGAAGACTAGAACTCGGAATATCTCGAAATAGTCCCACTTTATCGGACTTTTACAAGAATCCATTTTTTTTTTGCTTGAAAATATTCAGAGAATTAGTTCAACAGAAAAAGTGAAAAAGTACCCTGAGATAAAAGTTAAGACCATTCTAAACCATAGGAAGTGCATTGGTGGGCGCCATCTAATGGTCACAGTGATAAATTGTTGGTATTCGGGTTTCGCACCTCAAAAAACCTCCAGCAACCAATTTTTGTAGTGATACGTTTAAAATTTTCAAAAATTTTTGGATATCTTTTAACTTTAACACCTCGTATCTCGGACTGAAGAAAGTTCATTTAAATCGGCTTATTTTGACCTCAGGAATATGTGCAGAGATTTTGTTCAGACCCTGTATTTTAATCAAAATCATGATTTCTAAATATTCAGTTAAATTTTCGGAATTTCACCATACACACTGAATTTCTTTTTCAGATGTCCCAATTTGCTATGAATTGTTTGAACACACATTCTGAGAAATTGTTACGTTGAAAATGAATTATATGAATTATGCAACCCAAAAGCGTACTATAAACTGAAATTTGATCATCAGATTCATGTTTCCTCCAGCTTTTTAAAGAGGGGTCAGAGGCCATTGGGTTGCATTATTTGAAGAAAAAAAAAACATGCCGAGTGTGGGTTCAGTTATCCCTGAAGGTATAATTATATATTCTTCATATTGCTAGCTGAATGTGGGTGAATATATCCAAACGTTGATGTACATCGGTATTTTTTTTGGAAAAAATATCCAGCTTTCCGCCGACAAATTTATTCCATTTGAAGTCTTCACCATGTATATGACTTATGATTGATGTATGGCTTCCTGTGATCAGAATCACATCACAAAATTCAGATATCCATATTTTATTTTGATCATCAACTATGAACATGTGAAAATTTACAGGTTGTGTTATTTCTAAATAATTGAAAAGTGAGCTGTAATTCAATTCAAAATTGTGACTTACAAACTGATCCCCGTTTTTGTGTATCTGCTGTCCCTGGCACCTCTAGCTCAGAGAATTTGAAAGCTTCACCGTCACTCTCTACGATCCCGTCTTTCATGTAGGAAACCCCATCGCCGAAAATAGCAAATAGAAGATTCAAGGGAATCAAGATATCAAGGAGCGTCAACGTCTACAAAAAATAACATACATTTCTTCATCGAAATCACTGACATAACTACTATACTCAAAGCTACTATCTAGATTTTAGACAGATATATGTCAATCACAGCAATCTGAAAATCCCTGAAAACGCTTCTGCTCAATGCGCAGGGACTGTCGTACATGACAATTGAGTTATGTCTCTTATTGGTGTTCGGAAATATAAGTAAGAGTGAGTAAGATATAGGCCCTGATTGCGCAAGCTCCATTGAACCAAGTTCGATCTCGTACAGCTTGAATTCTAGCTTGGCCTCTGAGAATTGGATGCGCAGTAGACCAGTCGGTGGTGTGGGGCGAGAGCTCAATAATGTCGAGGAACTGGTTCAGTGAAAATCGGTTAGAACAGACGGTACCATTGTACTTTCCAATAAAAAGGCGTAGTGGATCTCTGCCTCACACTGAACATCTCTGTTTATCGTTTGTGCATCTCAAGGGCCAAGCTAGAATGGTCAATTTGTGAATGAATGAGCTCTTCTAATGGCATTAGCGGTCTAGTTAGTAATTAGACACGATTACCTACCTGCAGCCAGTGCAGCGCCTGTTGTTGTACTCTGGCGCTGGTTTTCTGAAATCTCTGCGCCACAAACTGGTACATTTTCTTGGCGTTGAAACCTAAAGGGCTCATCTCCGAATCGAGAATTTTGCTCAAAATGATACGTAATTCGAAAAGTTCCTTCTCCGGCACGTCATTGACGATGGCTTCCATCCAGTGAGGCATTATGTAATCCCAGATTTCTTGGGCGATCACTTCGTACGGCACCAGACAAAAGAGACGGTTCAAGCCGTCTTTCAGGTGAGTTGTTCGGGAAGATAAGGTGTCCCTGGAAGAAATCGCAGACGGAATCACTTAGTAATTAGAGCGCATTCGCTGGACTTACCAATGCCCCCCAATCCTAGCATATTCAGGCGGGTGCGGTAATAAACAAGAAATGAAAAGGGTATAGTGAGAACGGCTGATCTCTCTCAGCCAGTTACATACAGTTTCGGTCTTCAGTTTCTCCAGAGTACTTTCTTCCTGACCTGCAAAACTATGTTGAGAGACATCCGACGAGATAATCATAGTTTTGCTCTCACCATCGTAAGAATATGCCGTCATATGGAACCAGTGGAATATCATGGCAAGCAGACGACCTAAAACTTCTACCGGGGTATCATCTGTGGGGGTACATCTTCCTACCAGTAACCACACACCATACCGTCCCAAAAGCTGTCTTTCTTCCACCGTTATATTATCCAGAGCTGGTAGTGGACTCTTGCTGTCTTTGCCCTCCCTAGCTTCTTTGCCTTCTTTCGACTCGCCCTCTTTTTTCTCCTCTTTCAGCTCTACCTGAGGTATTTTGGCTTCTTTCAAAAGGCTAAAAAGACAATGAATACAAGCGTCAATCAGCCAGTTTGTTTCTTTTACCTAACGATGGCTTCGACCATATAAGTTTGCATTTCCGAATCCATGGTCCATGTAGGAGGTATACTCTTATGCACAATATGGTCCCCACCCCTTCGGTTATTGTGTCTGTTGTTGTGACACTGTTCGCAGTACCTGATGGGGTGATTTCCGTTATAACTGGCACATTCGGTTGAGAAACATATCGATATTGCTGCTTTGTCTGTTGAACGGCAGTTCTAAGAAATTAGAGGAGGGAAAGTTAATGAAACACACCCGGTTACCCAATAGTTTTTCAATCTCACCTTATTTTCACATACCATGGAAACTTGTTGCATGGGGTGTAATATATCGAAAAACATTTGGTTCGGGTGTTCACGGTGGATCTCATTGGCACATTCGATACAGAGGTACAGAGGTGGTGGAGTATCGCTAGCGAAGGTAATGGAAATGCAATGGTCGTAACAAACTTTCGCTGCCTCTGCGTTCCCTGTGTTAGGACACAGATCTCGTTGACATACAAACGGTGTGGGATCTAGAAAAATATTGTCCAACTCCCGCCTGATCCACACATAATTAACCATTTATTCATATAAACCATGCACGGAAGGGAACCTATCTCAGAAGGGATAGCGTAGGATGAGCCAATCCCCCACTCTTCTTTCTTGTTAGGCACCCTCTTCTGGTGATGACCTGACAGGAGAAAGGAGTGGGAGGAGGTCTTACGTTCTATTTAGTGAGTAGAAGAGCGTACCTGCAATTTTGCATATGAGGTTTTTCCGATCAAAAAGATTGGCGTTGAAGGTCGGCCAATAATAGAATAGCAATTTGGCAGCAGATGATCTGGCTGTTGAAGTACCATACGCGATTACACAGAGTACATCTTTCAGTATATTTTGTTTGAGGGTCATGAGACATTCTAACAGTTGGCAGTGATGTGCAGGGTTTGTTGAGTACTGAAATACCATCATTATTACAGCAGAAACAGACTGACAAATATCGTTATCTCTTTCATTGTGCCTTGCTGAAAAACAAAATTGATAACATAACTGATTGGAATTATAATAGCTTAGTTTACATACTTATTGTGAACGGTAATATGTAGAAACACAAACTATTGATTATTTCCTGATGCAGATTACTAGGAAGAACTGATATGGAAGACGCAGCTAAATACGGTAAATTATCAATCAAATCATGTTCCAAAAACGGTAGAAGACATCCGAGACATTGGAGGACAGACTGGCCAAAAGCTAACAAAAAAAACATCAAAATATCGTGTGTTTGAACTCCGTGAGACATTCAAATTACGGTATATTCCATAGGTGATCAGGGGTGCAACCTCAATGAGGGGGATGATCGAATTATACAGTCCCTTGTAATCCAGACTAGGAAATAGCCCCATCCGGACAGAGTCCATTTCTGGAATTTTAAGCAGATCGAAAGGCGAATTAGGGACATCTTTCAGGACAGCTGAAAAAATAATTCGCATTAGAACACGAGATGAAAGCCATCAGGACTGCCGACGTTATACTTAGCAGGGTTTGTGAGAAGTATTTGATTGTGTTTGCTATGTCAACCCCAGAGGGAGGGGGCATAACTCCTTGCATGAGCCGTAGTTGGTAGTCATAGAGGCTGCGAATTTTGGCTGTAACTGAAGTTGAAATTGTGAGTATTTCTGTGGAGAAATGGCACCGACCCAGATCCAACGTCCAATATGGTTTACGACATGCACCACTCACCTACCGTACTAATGTCTACTCCAATTCAAGATTATTACATGTTTACCTTCATCAAAGTCAAAGAACGTATTATGTTCACTATTATTATTCTCATATAGAAGGAATGGCGCTGTACGCGAGTAAGAGACTATTTTCTCAACGACTACTACAGGAACATTTTTATTCATTTTGTATTTGTTCAGCATCTGATATTTATCATTTTCATTCATTTATGTAGGATTAATACAAATATCGAGTCGAAAATCAGAAGAACAGGGCTTTCACATTGATTATTAATCGACACATATTCATAGATAGTGTATACAGTGTGATTTCTGATTATGGGATTAACTTTACTTTGGTTTTTCGTATCCAAAAGAAGTCTGTTACTTACCTTGAGTTATTTCATTATGACGTGTATTATTGGTTCCTTGCTATGAATAAGATGTATTCTCAAACAAAAAGGTCAACTTTGAAAATACACGAAATCAAATTATTGTATACGATATATGGCACATCATGGTACCAAATTCACTTAAAGAATCAAATCTGCCAATTCGACACTTTGACAAACGTCCAGAAAATTTTTGAGCTTGGTTCGTGATGGAATCTTCAATTTTTGAAGTAGGTTGAATAGTTTTTAACTAAATCACTCTTTGATGAAAACGTATTCAGATTGTCTTGATTCATTTTCGTCACCGGCGGGTGTGTAATATATTCACTATCCTTTTCAACAAACAAATTCTTGGTATATTGAATTTTTCTTATGTCTCGTCAGAATTGTTGTGAAATGTGTCAATACAGGGTGTTCCCAAAATTGGGGAAGTAAATTAAATGAGACATAATGACTCGATAAATCACAAAAAGTGCGCTCCCACCATACTACATCTTCTAACTATTATTGAACGTCTGGCAATATTGCAAAAGTCATTGATACTTCCGGTGCTTGTGATCTCGCCGAAAGCAAACGTTTGGGTTGGGCTATTATAACCTCATATCAATGATTTACCAAAAGTTTCAGGCTAACTTTGAGTACTGAGGCTCAATATTATCCAAAATATTTTTTTCGACAAAAATTCAATTCGTTATACATTTCATTTATTGCCCCAATTTCAGAAACACACTGTATACAAAGTGTTGAATTTGAAAATGAGAAGATACCTACGTGATCGTGTTGATCGATATTTTGAGAGTCTTTTTCAACAAAAAAACGGTGCATCCTGTCAAGTTGTTATACCAAAGAACTCCTTCAAAATTATGGACTCATTCAAAATTCGGCGGAACGACAATGACAATAGATCTAAGAAATTTGCATGATAATGAAGATACAGGATATATCTTCTACAGATAATCTATATCCATGTTCCGATCTCTACGTTGATAATATATCGAATTATTTGTTTGTGGAGAAGATATAGTGTTTGCAACGGTTTGGTTTTGGTTCTGGTCGGCACCAAAAAAAAAGGATAGCAAGTCTCTAAGACATCGAACGATACGTCGATAATAGTAATAATAGAGTATAGGTTTGTATGTAAAATTATAAAAGTGGTTAATAACATAGAAAAGGTAAAAGTTGCTTACATGCAGCAGCCCTTGTACCCATGTTGACAATGCAGTCACAATAATCAAACGCAAGGGATACACTGAGGTCACATTGTTTGAAACGTGCGGGAATCTTCAACATTGGGGGCAGCTTCGTTATTCCATTATACAGATCAATAGTAGTAGAAAATAAAGGATAACTGAAAGATTCTACAAGAACAGAGGGACACAAACACGTGGCTAGACTCCAGCATCCTGAAGGAGATCAATAACATATTTATATACACTCGCGCGCGGTTCATCATCTACTACCTGTATACAGGTGCCTCTGGAATGCCTACTTACATCGTATGTTATGAATCGAACCAATACGCATATTTAGTAAACCTGCAGTCGTGATATACATCGCACTGGTCTTTCTTATCAGCCCTAGTGAGGTATAGGTAGCAGGATAGTAAGGCAGATAGCAGTAATAAGTTGTTTCAGGCGTCTCTTAACTCGACTCAATCGATAAGCTGGACTTCTTTTGACAGGACTTAGCTCAGGAAAGCCTGATAGATAGCCTGCCTTCACGGCCTTCTGATCATTTTTGCGTATTGGGAATTCTATCGACATCCACAGCTATCATATGCGTAAATAACATCTATAGCACTCCATCACCACAAACACATCCCCCATTTCATATCCATCGAACAGCAACAATCAGTAGGTATACATCAAAACATAGATCGACAAGATAGACATCGAGACACTCAGAAACAGTCAGTTCCTTTCCCAAATGAACACTCAATTTCTTTGAACAAGAGGAAGAGGTGTGAGGAAAACGATCAGTGCAAAATCATAGGACAACAGAACATTCCTAACTTCCAACTTACACCAAAATTTAGTTACAAATTCACTAATAATTGTGTTCAGTTTTTCGTGACTTCGGTTGAACCACTAGAATCTAGAGACACGTTTTGATGGATTTTTAGCGAAATTCAGAGGGTGGATGAAGAGGGGGCGGATTGCGACGCGCATGAACTGTCAACTCTAAGGGCCGATTCGATCTGATTTCGCTCCGTTTTGGTCCAGTTTCTCTCCAGTCTTGCCATCCAACATTTTAATATCACCACGATCGGTAAATGCTTCCCATTCCAACACCAAAGCACTATGGAAAACCGTAAGCATTACTTTTTCACTAACCTTTATATTGCTTTTTCTTTCTTTCTTTCTTTCAGAGTCATTTTCCATTAGAAAATGTCTCGACATAATTTAGTAGCATTTATCATTTTATCTCTTCGACGCAAAACGGGACGTGAATTTGTAGAACTATACAGTGTGGAGATAACTAGAATATAGCAGGGATGTGAATATTTTTTCTGAAATTTCTCAACGTATGTCAACGATTCAATGTATTTACCCACCTTTTGCAAGCAATATCGAGAATATATCCTTCTAGGGGTAGCTGAAGGCACCCTCAAAATGATTTCTTCAAATGCTATGGTTTGTGACCCCTCATTGAAAAGCTATTGGAAGGGAGAATCCAGCGTAGGTACTTGTTAAATTTTCGTTTTTCATACGTTTAAAGGTTGCACAAAATCGGAATGTAATTCCAAAATTCATTTTTTTTTCAACGTATCAATTGCTCAAAATGTGTGTTGAACAGTTGCTGATGGCAATTTTTTTCCACAACTGCTATCTGCTATTGTATTCCAGTGTTTTTATAGAGCCGAAAAAAGAAATTTAGTTTTTTTGGCGTGTTCACAGTTCGAAACGAAGTGTTATTGCAAACTGGTGGAAATGCCCTATATCTCTTTCACTAAAAGTCGAAATTTTTATGAAAATACGTTGAAAATTAGTGATTCACACGAGACCAACGGGACGAGACTTTCATAAAGTCTCGTCTCGTCTCGCCGATGAAATATAAAGTCTTTGTCTCGAGTCTCGTCTCGCAGCCTCTAGTCTCGTCTTGTATCGCGTCTTGTATCGCGTCTCGTACGAGAGTCTCGCAAATGTATCGCAATTTCGTCATGTATAATCTTGTTCCAGTCTAGTACGTGATATTTACCTTCAGCTACTTTTTTGGTATAATGTAGAAGTAGGAAGAGAAAATTACGACAAAAATAACATTATTTATTGAGAAGTAAGTAACTAATAGGTACATACTTTCATCATACATCTAAACAAGAAAAAAAAAACATAGCATTGAATATTCGAAAGTTATAAAAATAAGAAAAAATGTTTTGTCTATCTGTGCTAAATAGTCTGGATTGATTGATACAAATTGAAACGGTACATTTTTTACTAATACTACCTTTTCTGTCAAAAAGAACTAAACAATCTCTTACCTAACTTACTGGAAAGTTTTGTTTGTTAGTTGCAGGAGAATCTGTTGACGAACTCCGAGAAAGATTGAAAAACATGAGAAAATTGGTGGAAGAAAGAAAACATCTTGTTACCTTGGATGAGGGTAGGAGATCGACCAACATAGGAGTCATTGACGGGAGTTTTTTAAGTGTGGTATTCGGGATAGCTCTCCTGGTTATAATAACCGTTAGCGTTTACGCTTTTTACAATCTTTACTCAGCAATTCTGAAGAAATTCCCACATCCTCACGAGGAACTGTGAAAATCATTCATGTTATCATGTGTTGTACATGCAATATTTTAAGACTTCATCACTTATTGATGTAAAACAAATAGTAATAAAATTTTCATATATTTCGAATTCTATCTATCTACGAAGCCCTGGAAGGGACACATAAAATAAAAAAATAAAACTTCTAAATTCTGAGTTATAACTCGGAATTTTATTATAACTCGGATTTTTAAAATTCCGAGTTATAACTCGGAATTTCACATCCAATATTCCGATTTATAACTCAGAATTTTAAAATTCCGAGATTGTATGTAAAATTCCGAGATATAGGTCGGAATTTTAAAATTCCGAGTTTAAAGTCAGAATTTTGGAGAGTTAATTTTTTTTTATTTTACGTGTCCCTTCCAGGCCTTCGTATCCTATATGTTGTGATACATTTTTTCACATTCTCCGATCCTATTCCAATAATGCTATGTTTGTGAATTAAACGTAGAATTCAGTTTAAAAATGGAGAAAAGAGAAATATCTCAAAGATATTTCATCGATAGTGTTGAAAGTAATTTGAGATGTTGTATTCAGATACAAAGGTACAGCCTTGGAAAAATAATTAATTAATCAATCAAGAATAGGTAACGTTTTCGAAGAAAGTATGAATAGTAGAGAGATACAAAACATTTTCCCATGAAAGTGTGCATGTTTTGTAGGTATACATATTATATCATATATACGTATCAGTATACAGGGTGGCACACTATATTGCTCACTATATATCTCTGAAACCGTTAGATATAAGAAGTTGGTTGAATGGAACAAAAGTTGCACATTGCAGGGAACATAAGGACCATATAAAGAAATCAAAGATATCATGGGCCGTTTCCAAGAAAATTGCGAAAAAACAAAATATTACAAACATTAAAATATGTTGGCTTTGTGGTTTTACGTTTTTCGAAATGATACTAGTGGGGTGATACTCAAATTGTGACACAAATCTGTAAATGGAATGAAAAGAGTAATTTATTCTTGAAAAACAAAATATCAGGTCCGTATTTCAAAAAAATGTTGAGGGTGGCCATGTATGAACGAAACGTGGTATCGAATATCTGATATCACCAGATCGAATAACATACGAAATAGAATAAAAAAATTTCGAATAGTTTTTTCTGTTTCCCGAAACGAAAGAGCTAGCGCCTGAAAACAAAAATCGACATTTTTGGTTTTTCTAAACCAACTATCTCTAACCGTTTCAGGGTTAGCAATATAGTGAGACAGCGCAATGTGGGCCACCCTGTATAGGTACCTATCATGTACTTATATATTATCAAATTTTATCTGTTGTAATTTATATATTCGATTATAAAAATATAGTTTTGAAGATAATCTCGTTTTTACCACTTTGGGTGAATCCTAAAAATACGTCACACATATATATATATATGGCCTTTCTTGATGCCATTTGTTTTTCTTCATTTCTAGTTTTGCTAAAAGTACCTAAATTCAGTTTCGAATTGATGGTCACATTTTTGAAAATTCATTTTACATTCAAAAGTAGCGTCATTATTGGTTTAAAAGATGGGAAATTTCATGATGTATTTTATGAGCTGGTTTTGTAATGAACTTGTCGAAAAATAGTATCTTTATATGAAAAATAGTATCTTTGTATGATTAACATGACATGACCCTATAGTCATGAAATAGTTTAATTTGCATTGTTTTTTTATAGAAACAAACTGAACGAAAATATTTTAACGCAATCGATCACACAATCCACCTAGAAAAAATAGAAGAAACCAAATTTGAATTTGACACTTGTAATTATGACTCGAAAAAGATTCTTATGTGAATAGTGAATAAATATTATTTGCTAGAATGTCACAAGAAAACACCCCTTGAATTTTTTCGGTGTTATTCAGATACACCCTGTATATGATAATTCCTGAATAACATTCATAACATATAATCGAATATTCTAGGAACGTTCCAAGGATATTTTTATGAAATGTTCCATGAAAATTCTCGTGAAACATTCTATGAACATTCAGAATATCCTCATCATATTCTATATAAACGTTCTTCGGAATATTCTGAAGGAGGTATGTTGTGAACGATGTGAGAACATTCATAGAATATTCTGTGCTGTCTGGGATGTGATCGACACGGAAAACAGGTGAATGAAAATAAACTTATCACATATATCACATAGATATAGAGTTAATCGTATAGGTTGCTCGCGATAATTTGAAAACTTGAAAACGATGTCGCAATAAGCGCTACACAATAAATGACAATAATCTCCACTTGTTCAAACAGTGACCGAAGTAGCATTCATTCAAAAAAATATAATCCATAAGAGAAATACAAGAGCATACATCAGAACAAATTGGTTGTAAACGACAGTGTCCGGCCGGACTTATTCAAATTAAAGTTGGTTAATTAAGCATAAATAAATGAGGTAGGTATAGTTTTGAATTCAACCTACCTGTGAACGTCACAGTGAAGTCAACATTTCGCGTGCTTAGTGCTTATTCAGTGTACTCGAACAAGTTGGTCAGGCCAGTCGTGTGTATCAAAACCGCAATAGAATGGAAAGCTAACTAGAGAAAGTGATAAAGCAAACCTATGTTGGCTCGAAAATCAACAATAACAGTTCCTTTTGGCGACTACAAATTACCAGAAAATCGCCTGAAATGTCGAGTTCGCTATGCAAGGCCTCTGTGGTAAGTTGCTATACATGCATGAAATGAATGTTGAAACAGCCAATCATCCACTGACTTGCTATGGACTTTTCGATGCAATGTTAATTTTTACCGGTTAATAGGTAGGTACCTACATAAATACAAGCGTAATACCTAATATAAGTAGTTGTATTTTATATAGGTATTCATTCAATCATACTATCTATATACCATATCTCATCATATTAATATAGACACATGTTTGAAAATGACCTTCGATAAGTAGTGTTTTCCATAAAAATAAATATTATATGAACTGTCCAAGAAGACAGTAAAGTAGGTTCATGAAAATATAAGCGAGCGCTCGGTATAGATATATAGGTAGGTCTATCTTGCATAATCTATTTTTCCATTATTTTTCCCATTGAAAGAAATCTAGTGAATTTATCTAATCTCATAACTATAAAACATGTATTTATATACGTTCAAGTACTTGAGTCAAACGAATAGTTAGGTATACCTATACCTATATATTCCTCATAGCTGCGATATACCTATGGTAGGTACCTATATAATGCAATAATGGGAAAATCGGAATTGTTTGTTTCATTATTTCTTCAGTCGATTATCACATTGTATATAACAATAGGTATCTTCAATTCAAACAAAAGGAAATAGACCATTAAAATATAGAGGATAGGACTTCGTAGACTCAATATAAATCCACTCATATCAAAATTGTTCATCATTTTGGGTTTATGAACTAATTTGAGTGTACATTTATTCTCACATCAAAATAGGGGAAAATGTTCCTGAAACCGTATCACGAAATATTGAATGCATAAAAAACATGAGGAACAAAAAAATAAACATATCTCTAATGATGCAAACACCATGAGTCGTATATATACAGGGTGTATCTAAATATAACACCAAAAAAATCAAGGGCTGATTCCTTGTGATATTCTTGCTCTGCATTTGAGGTACTGGATGTTGAAGTTAAAACGATACATTGTTTTCATAAATGACCACTCTGTATAAGCTTTCATGGTGCCAAAATTCAGTATGATTGGAGACTGACTAAGCCCCAAAATTTTCAAATAACTCGAAATGGGGTTATTGAATAATCTCAATGGAAGTCTTGAAAAAACCTACATCAAAATTTGAAGTCAATTGGAATTTCTATTGTTTCCTCAAAAACTAAGCTAGATACAAAAATCACACAAAGGATAAAGAAGTAGTTATTTCAATAGTTCAATCTAACAAAATTATGAAACTCAGAAGAACCGGTGGCGTACAATGACATACACCATAAATATCGATAAATTTACCCCCTTTTTGACGCCACTGGAAATATTATTTCGAATTTAATTGCATCAGAAGAAGCTCCATATTACTACCAACGAAACCACAACGTTTTATTGAAATTGATGATAAGACAATTGAGTAATGAATTAAAAAACGAATTTTCATGGAAATATCCATACCCTCGCCTTGCAAAAAAAGGTGCAGCATCTGCACTTTTTGTCCTGAGCCTTTTTGTGGGATAAGCAAATGTCACCTAAAGGGAGAACTCGGGAAATGAGAAGAAATTGAGAAGTCCTCCTACTGGAGAGCAACTCCAGGTCAACGACAAGCGAAAAGGTTCATCAACCATTCGCAGAACCGAGCCAAAGAGCTACTCAGCCTCAGCAAACCAGAGCTAAAGCTTATCACAGGCTTTCTCACAGGACACGGCCCTCTGAGGCACCACCTCAAAAAGATGGGTCTGGCGGAGACTGACAATTGCCGCTTTTGTAACAATGCGACCGAAACCGCGGAAGTATTAGTCCGCCAAAGGCTGAACCACCTAGAACAGGTCTATCTCACCCCTGCTGAAGTGGAAAAGTCAACCGTCAGGAAAACCGTAGGCTTCATCAGAAGTCTAGGGTTAGGGGACCAAAACTAGATTGGGGTAATCAAAATAGATCTTCTAGGTCGCAGTGATCGAGAGGTCTCTCAGCCTATACGACCCATCTACAATCTACAATCCATACCCTGTATCTCGCAAACGAAGCAAGTTCGGACACATGTTTATATGAACTTTATTTCCTGAAATATCATAAGGAATCATCCCTCAAATTCTTTCGGTGTTATTTAGATACACCTTGTATACAATGGGCCACTAGGAGCCTTCAAACGGGGTGGTGTTTAGTGGTTACAAACTGCAGTCAATGGACTTCCAAACTATCAAATTAGACCCATATGATGTCCATAAAAAAAATTATGCAAATATAATTCTCAAAATTTCTCTAATTACGTAGATAAATTCAACTATTCAACTAAAAGGTACTCTTTTATATATCGAGACGTATATAATAGGCACGGATAATATAGCCCCTGATCTCCACCACTGGTTACGACTCAGTTCATGCTTAAGAATCTAAAATATAATGGCAACGATAGAATAAGCGATAATGAAAATAATGTGTTTATGCAATTTACCAGTATTTTTCAAAATAAATAATAAATATAATTTGTTATTGATTAATTGCAGTAAAGAGACTACACGTTTTGTTTAGAAAAGTAGATACCTACATTTTGTAATTCTCTTTAGTTTTGGGTATAATCACTATTTTGGAAACATCCTGTGAGTATATACAGGGTGAGTCATAACTATTGGGACATAGGCTAAGGGCGGATTGTTTGGACCATAATATGGCGATTGGGCCAAACATGCCTTGAGAAAATATTGCTGTGAAAAGAGATACAGGGCGTTTAAGTTATTTTTTTTTGCGTTTTTTATAGTTTTTTTTGCTGATAATTTCACTGTGTATGAAATATATCTTTGAAGAAGTTTTGTGATTTGGTTGCTTTCTGTCTAGATATTAGAGATATTACAATTCATACCTTCTGGTTGCATCCCGCATTTATTCATTCATAAAATGATTGTGACGAGACATTTCGATCGAAAAAATGTTGACTATAAACTCGCACCAAAATTCATTTTCTGACAAGAAATGCCATTACCAGCAACATTATCTGACAGTTCAAAGCACACTCTTCATGAATGAAATAATATTTGTAATTAACTTCTGAGACTCTGAACTGTTCAATAGCGTTTTTCTCGAGAACGGATGAAAATATCGTGTTCAAACAAGAGTACCAATATTACGTGGAAATGATGTTTAGGTCATATTTTTCAATCAAAATCACTCAAAAGTGTCGTCAAAAAAAGTAACCAGGCGATTCCATCATCAGGAATCATTCACGTGGCGTCCCCTGTATCAAAATGTAGAAAAGTACATAAAATAATATTCCCTGTATAAAATTATGCCTCTGTGCCAATTTTGATAAAAATTGATGAATATACAGTGAAATTATTGGCAAAAAACGAAAATAAAAAGTCAACTTCAACGCCCTGTATCTTTTTCAACAGCAATATTCTATAAAGGCATATTTGGTCCTATCACCATATTTTGGTCCAAATAATCCGCCCTTAGCCTATGTCCCAATAGTTATGACTCACCCTGTATATGTATATATTGGTTACAGATATAAATATCCTATAGTAGATCATTTTAATTAGCTAAACCGATAATTATTCATTTCAACAAACCGAGCTTTATTACATATACCTACTTATAGGTATTGAATTATACCTGCTTATTGTTTATTGTCATATATAATGAGGTATACAGGTAAGTATATATTGTGCAACAACGGCATCAAATATATTTGACCTAATACTCACCATATTTCCCATGATTACGAACCTAGTTTTTATTTGTGCTACAGTTACCTTATACATGGTGTCCCAGAATTACGCGTTCGTATACTCCGAGAGGTAATTATAAATAGATGAAAATATGAAGAGATCTTCCTATCAACATGCATGTGTTCGAAAATTCTTCCTAAGTTCTCTAGAGCCCTTTGAAGGTAGGTGTGTTTAATCTCTGCTAAGGGTGATTATAATAATAATATAATATGTCTTTGATTGCCCGAATTACAAATAAACAGAACATCGATGGTACAAAAAAATTATAAGAAAATATGTGACTATGCTATAAAAATGCCTCAAGTTCTTTTGTATGGAGATTCGTCTCATTTCTACTACAAGAATATGATTCTTCAAATAATAATTATTATACTTGAAAAAGGTATTCTTGTTAGAATGCCGTAAAAGGATCCGTTTTCGAGAAATGATTTTAAGCGTGCTCTAATGATGAAAAAATTGGAACTTGATTGTTATTAAAATTTTACATTTTCAGTTATAGTTTTATTTTATTGAAGTTAATCGTGATGTTGATTTTTAGATAGAATATCCGCAAATGGAAATTGACTAAATTTCACAAACTTCACTAGGTGAATTTTCTCGAAAACGGCTCGTTTTACGACATTCCAACAAGAATATTTGTTTTCAAAGGGCCCTTATATAGGAATCATCTTAGGACACATCATGTTGATAGGAGCATATTTTTCTTATTTTTATGTGCATGATTACCTCCCGGAGTATACGAACGCTATTCTGGGACACCCTGTATATGATTGTTATAGAATTCGAGATATTTCGAGTTTTTATCTATAGGTTGGTGGTTGGTACCAGTTTTTTGTTTTAGTACAAAGCATATCAAGATGTTATAAACGATGTAATTTCCAATACCAGGGAACACTTCATAGAAGACGGAGTGGATGAAGCAGTTTTACAAGAACTGAAGCAACTTTGGGAGACAAAGTTGACTGCTACAAAGGCTGTGGAAGAAAATAAAGAACTTGACAAAGTAATAGGTAATTCATGTATAGTTGTGGTTGTGGTCCTTGCTCTTTCTTTACCTATATATTCTCAGATATTATTTTTTTTAGGAGTGAACAACAATAAAATACCAAAAGCAGATGTCACCAATAATGGGCCCAACTATCCAAAAAATACACCAATGACTTTTTCACATCAAGTACAAATGCCCCATCATCAACAACAGCAACTGTTGAACAAACAAGTTGTGGGACAAGTTCCTCCCAATAATCACATGCCTCAAGGTGAATGACCCATACCAATTCCATACCTTTATCTTTTTAATGCCACCCTCTTGACTCATGAATCATTTGAGATAGGTAGGTATATAAATTCTTGAAATTTTGTTAGCTTGAAATACCAGTGTACCTATACATTTATCAAACTTCATACCATACCTATCATTTATATATTTTTATTATTGAAAAGTAACAAAGTGAAGTCCGCCGATATAGCTACTCAAAAATATGCGTATTATTGAATGTTCATCTTTACCTATTATCATCAAAATACGAAGAACTAAATTACAGGAAAATTTAAGAGATAGAGATGAAACGATCGATTTCGAAAAACTTCTGGAAAACATTTGAATTTTAAATTTGATAGGGTATAGAATCCATGGAAGATTATATAGATTTGGCTATCATCAGATCTATCATCATCGTTAGTAAATTATTGTTAGAGTTGCAATGGAGTAGCCCTCTCAGTGTACTCTTATATTGTACCACTTGTAGTTACAAAGAGGAATTTATGTGAGTACAGTTTGCACACCAATGTTCAGAAGGAAATAATCTCTGTCACTTGAAACAAAAAACATCCAAAAAGGACAAGTAGTTTTGACGAAAATGTTTTCAAAACTTTTGATTACTTTTTGATTGTGCGTAAATTTCTTGGAGAAGTGTATTTCTATTTCGGTATGTAGAAATTTCTTCAATTTATTTGTATCGATATGGATGACGTTCCTTCTAATGAAAATTCCAAGCTTGGCGAAACTGATGGTTATATTCAAACAATCGTCAGTTTCACGTTTCACCAACCTTGGAATATTTGAAAATAATAATAGACTGTGTTATCAATTGAACGACACAGACAATAAAATAGCTAGTTTTCTCAGAAATCAGAATTTCAAACAAGCTTGAAATTATACCTTATGACCCATAGATTGCGAATGCTTTTCAGGTCAAATGGGATCAGCCTTTCCCGAATGGAGACTAGTCCCCATCCAGTTAACAATTCCTTCAGCCCCTGGTACAGGCGAAGGACCCAGGATCCTCTCCATAGACGTTCCAGAAATGTTTCTGCAAGGCCCCCACCTGAAATCCATACTGACCGGACAAGTAATAAGCACAACCATGGGCCTGCCTCTCCAAACCGCCTGTGCGTTTCTTCAAGAACACGTCAATGCTGCCTTCATCAAACACCAGCAGACGTACTTTACGAATGTAAACGCCATGAGTATGATGGTCTGTTCATAGAATCTCATCTATATTCAATTTTGGCTCGCATTACGTCTCACATATATGGCAGCAATCTTTTGGAAAATATGGTGAAACCTTAGTCGTGGCACTTGATATCTTCAAGGCATTCGATCGAGTCTGGCACCACGGACTCCTCGCCAAGCTTCCATATTATGGCTTGCCTCCCCAGCTATGTTCTCTGCTAGCTAGTTTTCTCTCAAATAGGTCTCTCCATGTAGTGGTCGACGGAGTTTCATACGACTCTCTTATCATAAATGCTGGTGTTCCGCAAGGATCAATTATAGCACCAACACTATTTCTACTTCATATCAAAGATTTGTTGGAAGCAACTTCATGTCCAGTACACAGCTTCGCGGATGACAGTACCCTCCATACCGCCTTCTCTTCCAGGGCTCCAATACCAACCAGGCAAATCAGGAACGAACGAGGGAGACATGTTGACAACATAAATATGGACTTGGCAACAATTCTAGAAAGGGGATCCAATAACTTGCTAGATTTCAATGCAAACAAAACACAAGCATGCCTTTTCTCTAGGAGAGCCGATCTCACTGTGCCCAACATAAGCCTGTCAGGAGTAACCATACCTTTGAAGACATCCATTTCGATGTTTGGTATTACTATCAGCAATAACCTTTCTTGGGAAAATCACGTGAGATCAATTGCTAGAAGTGCATCCCAAAAACTTGGTTTTCAGCTTCGGGCCAGGAGCTATTTCACGTCCAGTCAGCTGCTTATGATCTATAAGGCACAGATCCGACCTGTCCTGAAATACTGTTCCCATATTTGGAGTGGAGCACCCAAACATACCCTGAAACTGTTGGATTATGTCCAAAAAAGGGCAATTCGTCTCGTGGGTGATGCCTCGCTCACAAACTAACTCACTTCTCTGAAACACCGCAGACAAGTTGGCGATCTGGCCCAATTTTATGGATATTTTCATGGACGATGCTCTTCTGAAATATCCACAATTGTTCCTCCATTGGCCGTCCAACGAACAGCGAGGCTCTGGAACACATTGCCAAGGGAGATGTTCCCCGAGGCATATAACCTCCAGAAATTTAAGAAGAACACCAATTTCTACCTTATTTCCCTTGGTTTTCACGATGTTCTCTGAACATTACAGGATATCCCTTTTCGTGGAACACAGAACATAAAAAAAATCACATTTAATGCATGCTGACCTATATAACTATTTCCCTTGAGAAATGGACTAACCCATTGCGAAGTTGCAAGCTACGTTGATGCAAGGTTGTAGCAATTACTGCCCAGTGAACACAAACATCCCTGGGATGTAACATTCATGTCTCACTAGGTAACAATGCGAATTACAAGAAAACATCATTGGTATCGCCAGGGGACACTTTGTTTTACAAATATTCGCAATTTTCGTTACATTTCATTGGATTTGAGACTTGAAATATATGTGAATTTGTGAGGCTCCCTAACAACCAAGAGACTCACTGGAACCTCACATTCTTGTCTATCTATGTAACAAACGGAATCAATCAATTTTGATGTTGAATGAGGAGTCGCTTAATACGTACTGTGAGTTTCATTTTGCATCATAATCTGAGTCATAAAATGACCAGAAGGATCTCGAATAGCAGCTATTTCGAGTTACGGTCTTATTATATCTCTGGGATCAATCTGTGTTAACTGGGTGAAACTGACGTACAGCAATATTGCAAATGTAAAATTTGGAAACGTAACGTTCTAGCAATGTCAAAGAGCAACATGTTATATAGCTCCTACGCTACATTATCAAACTTCACATTTGCAATATTGCTGAACGTCCTCTTCATCAGTGATTGCTTCGACATTGGATCAACATAGTTCCAACTTTGCTTTAGTGGGAAATTAAATATGAGTTGAATGAGATTCTATGAACGTATCTGAGTGAAACGGATGCTTGAATTCTTAAGATAAGTTGATATTAAATGTAAATTAAATATAAGTTATTTCAATGAACAGACCATGAATCCCTTGATGTCTGATGGCCTCCACGATGATCAACTGCAGAGCAGGCTCAGGGGTATCCCGCAGGGGGACGGCCCCGCGGATTCTTCCGATGAAGATGATCAAAGTGAAGAAAGATCTGAAAACGATATGGAGGAGGACAAGGAAGAGGACGACCTGGAGGACGATGATGGGGCCATGGGGCCCGAGGATGATCCCCTCAATTCTGGAGACGATGTTTCTGATGCTGACGGAACAGAGGAATCTTTTGAGACTGATAATGTGATAGTGTGCCAATATGACAAGGTAGGTGCCAATTAACCTTCCAGTAGTCGCGCCTTGAAATGGGCATAATCTGTCGCTGCGGAGTCTGACTCCGCAATGGAGAATTTGGGTGGTGTGAACATGATGAATCGAATTTTTCCAAAAATTTGTATGCCTTTGGACATGAATATCTCTACGAAGTAAAATGTGGAAATTGCAATAAAAATATATTTATTCAATAACAAAACCCAAAACTAACATATGACAAACTATCGAAGATTTAATAACTGGAATCCGAACAAAAACACTATGGGTTGAGGACAAACTGGAAATATTTCAATCTCAAACCACCATCAATGACTGATCGGCAATCTCTGCAAATGAATAAAGCGGGTTCTAATAAGCACATGAATTTTCCACATGTACTACAATGAAATTGGGTGTGTCTATTTTTTTATCACAGTAGCATCGATCATGTGTGTTTACAAGATGGTATTTTATGAAATATCATTCATCAAATTAGACAACATTTTTGCCTAAAACGCCCGAAATAGCTGTAAAGTGTAACTGCAATATAACTATAAGACGTCTGAGGTCGCTGCGGAGTACGACTCCGCACTCTATGCTATGAAATTCAAAAACGAAGCAATTTTGCACATCGGTAATACTCGATTCGTCCTGAAGTCGTCATTTTAGGAAGGTACTGAGTGCGGCGGAATAAGGGAATGAAGTATATTCGAGAAAACTCACATTTAATATTCGTGCGGAGTGATACTCCGCGTGCGACTACTGGTATGTTAAGGTTTCGGGATGAATTCACACTTACACCACAACGTGTGAACGAATTTTATGATTATTTATAGAAATTTCAGCTTCTTTGTCATATGTCCCATGTAGGTGAACAAAATTAGCTTTTTGTCATCAATTCCCACATATTTAATGATCCATCACTTCAGTTGTAGTTTATGAGGAAAAGAAAGGTGTTCTCCATAAGGAATTACTACACTGATCACAGTGTATGTCATTTAATCTTGATGATTTTGATAAATTGAAAGGAATTAGTGTCAATTGGGCGATTTTCATAAAAGGAACAAGAGTTGCAAACAATATTTTTTTCTACAAACGTCGAAAAACATAGTTCTGAAGTAGTAATATGCTTAGCTTAATATAAAAGAATAGTGTTGAACTGGCTTAAAGACCTCGATATTTGTTAAACTTTCAGGAATAAATGATTTCTTGGATACACTACACTGTTTTACCACTAACCAAACCGATTTTTTAACGCCTCGACACGTGTTTCGCTAACTATGTTAGCATCTTCAGGAGAAGATTCTTCAGTTTTAATCTTCTCCTGAAGATGCTAACATAGTTAGCGAAACACGTGTCGAGGCGTTAAAAAATCGGTTTGGTTAGTGGTAAAACAGTGTAGTGTATTATCGTGCCAAAGGTTCCAGTCTTCGAGATTTCTTGGATGTTTGATGAATTGAGGACCATAAAGTTTAAATTCAAAAATCTCATAGTTTACACCTCGTACATAATTCAATATGCGCGAAGTATGTAGGTGTCATGGTAACGTAGGAAACTGAAAAAAAGTTTCACTCCGCAAATTGTTATCAATGTCGAACCTTGTTATTTTTTTACGTTTGTAGAAAAACTATCCCACATTTTCAAGTAGGTAAACTAAAACGTCTATTTGAATGATTTCTCCTTATTTACAGATAACGCGGAGCAGGAATAGATGGAAATTTCATCTGAAAGATGGCATTATGAACTTGAAGGGGCAGGATTTCATTTTCCAAAAAGCTAATGGTGATGCAGAATGGTAACATTCCAGTTGACTGTTTTTGTTATTTTAGTTTTGACATTGATTTTATTATACTTATATTGAGTTTCAACTTGTTATTTTAATAAGATATTTACCTTTTTAAATAGAGATTATTTCTAATAGAAGATTTACTTCTATTGATATATCTGTTTTGGGCATTATATGTTTGTTTTACTGTGAACTAGTGTATTTTTTCAATTGTTGAATTGATGATGTAATGATAACAAAAAAAACACGTATGTTATAATAACATTCATGTATTTACAAATTTTAGTCTATACAAGACGTTTACAGTCTGAACTCTATACATAGTTTACAAATAAAGTGAAGGCACATTTTTTGGTCACCTTTTGACCATCATGAAAGGAGGCGAACGAAATAGTGCAGTAGTTATACTGGTTTATTTCTGCACCATTCCTCACACATACCTTTTTGTACCTTATTTTGAAATAAACTTAAATAACTATTCAAAATCACAATAATAATTTTATCAAAACCCTGGATATAAAGTGCCATTTACCCCAAAAACTCTTTCCACAATGAATTACACACCTCATGTGTTCTGTTTATTCATTGAATATAAGGCATTTTCTAGAGAAGAAAAACACTGACTAAGAATGAACAAACAACTCAAGTTACACATTAAATTATGGCCCTTTGATTACGCTTCCATATTCGGTTTGTACCCGAAAAATAAAACTTAAAAAATATCTCATACAAAAGGATCCTAATAGGTAAAATAAATAAAAATCCACATATACAAAGTGCTGCCGAAACTGGTGGTTGTCGCAGCTCTACTAAAACGTTCTTAACACCGAGTATTCCTACTGAGCACGCTATAACCAAATCGCCAAAGCTGCTTGGGGGCCCGAATACAATAAACCACGAAACGAATTTGTGAAGAAATCTGTGAAATATCTTTAACGGTACACAGCCATTTTATCAAATGGATAGGACTAGAATGTAACTCTATGGCGAGCCGATGACTATTTCCGATATCTGACCATGTAAAAACAGAAAGAATCCAACTAGGTTAGGCCAGTCATTCCGAACAATAAATTCACAACAATTCCAGTTTCATCCCACCAAGCAAATTTGGACGCTATGTTGAGGTAAGGTTGTAGCAATTACTGAAATGGAGGTTCAGCAATATTGCGAATGTAAATTTGTGAATGTAACGTTCCAGCAATGTCACAGCAACATGTTATATTACTGCAACGCTACATTATAAAACTTCACCTTTGCAATATTGCTGAACGTCCATTTCAGTCATTCCTTCAACATTGCATCAACATAGCTTTTAACTTTGCTTAGTGGGCTAGATGCGATCCGGAACGGGTAACAAGTTGAGATTTATCGTTTTCTCCATGTAGCACTCGCGTAAGTATAAAAAACTATGGGAATTATTGGCGAATTTTTCATTTCTATTGTCTATAAGACTGGCCTTTACTCTCTACATTCGAAATTATATACTGCATCCTTGCGTCACCTCGTCGTTCGACTGCTGGCTCCACCTACAGTGATGATTGTTATTGCTACTGTTATCACTATGTAAACTTTGTTCTAACTCCAGGAGCTGGCCCATGAAGTTCAGGTTGGGGGATATTATCGGTCTGGCTTCTTTCACCTTCTTGTAAGCCTCCACCATCGACATTTGCTTGTATTTCATTATGTATGCTATCGCTATTGTGGCACTGCGAGATACACCTGCCTGACAGTGGACCAGCACTCGAGAACCACTTATTCTTGCTTGTTCTGAAATAAAAAACAACATGTTACTAACTCATACATAGTCTTGAGGTCCAGTAACAATGGAAGAAAACTCGAAACCGTATTTTCATTTTTCAGGGAATTATTCGAACTCGGAAGATTCAAAAAGTTGTGGAGACCATTTGGAGTTGTGTTTCATTGTTTTTATCGCTTTTTCTGATCTTTTGACCAATTTGGGATCGAATTAATGAAAGAAAACTCGAAACCGTATTTTCATTTTTCAGGGAATTATTCGGGCCACGTCTCGAACTCGGAAGATTCAAAAAGTTGTGGAGACGATTTGGAGTTGTGTTTCATTGTTTTCATCGCCTTTTCTGATCTTTTGACCAATTTGGGATTGAATTAATGAAAGAAAACTCGAAACCGTATTTTCATTTTTCAGGGAATTATTCGGGCCATGTCTCGTACTCGGAAGATTCAAAAAGTTGTGGAGACGATTTGGAGTTGTGTTTCATTGTTTTTATCGCTTTTTCTGATCTTTTGACCAATTTGGGATCGAATTAATGAAAGAAAACTCGAAACCGTATTTTCATTTTTCAGGGAATTATTCGGGCTATGTCTCGAACTCGGAAGATTCAAAAAGTTGTGGAGACGATTTGGAGTTGTGTTTCATTGTTTTTATCGCTTTTTCTGATCTTTTGACCAATTTGGGATCTAATTAATGAAAGAAAACTCGAAACCGAATTTTCATTTTTCAGGGAATTATTCGGGCTATGTCTCGAACTCGGAAGATTCAAAAAGTTGTGGAGACGATTTGGAGTTTTCTTTCATTGATATTATCGCTTTTCTGATGTTTTGAACAATTTGGGATCGAATTTGGAACGTTTTACATGCCCTACCGGTTTATTTTGGCAATATTCTTCCGTTTATTTACTTCATCGATACTGGATGACACAGGGTATCGAACCACACCTGTAATTTATGCATTCGTGAAATTTTGGTACACGTATATAAGCAACCATTTGATTTGATCACATTGTAATCCAATATGGCGACCTTCCGGTTTTTCTGGAAATGTCAGCAACTTCGTTTTTCAAATGGAACACCCTGTATATTTTTACATTTTTAAGTTGAGAAGGTCAGAACAAGTGCAATATTCATGACAAGATTCAAAAATGTTGCACAGCTTACTTGAAAAATTATTCGAACTGAAGGGGAATTCATGATGGTTTTTGAATGTATACGATTTGTTACTGCACCGAAATAAAATGACATATAATTTTTTTCCTCAATGTATGTTCTAGACTCTAGAGAGACATGTAGGTAGCCCATTCATAGGGATTCCATTTGAAAATTATGAATTTTTGATCAAAATGTGATGTAACTGAAATGATTCATCGATATGACAAGAAAAATAATATTTCAGAAAATAATGCTTCTCTAGTATGTGGGACTAATGAATATATAGCCTTGAACACATCTCGTTTATCCACGAGGTAAAATAAAAAACAATTTCAATTTAAATACTTTCGGAAAAATTACATTTGACGAAGGTTGAAAAACCGGAAGTCCGCCATATTAGATTGTAATGTGATAATCCGAAATGGTTGCTTATATATTATATAAGAGTACCAAATTTCAGAAAAATCTGTCTACGAATGCAGAAGTTACAGGGGTGGCCTGATACCCTGGTGTTACTCTGTATTTTCCTCGGTATTCGTATACTTATTGTGATCTCATTCCTTTATATTACTCGAAATATACTGTGTGAGATGAAACCACTCGAAATCCATCAATGGACCATCAATATAGCGATGACGTCGAATACGTCCGCCAGTATTTTTTCTTATATAATGGGGTGCTATTTATTTAAAGATGATGGCCAACTGTTTGCGTTCGCTAAGACGTTTATTGATTCTTTTATGATTTTATTTGCTGTGTGATGAAAATATCAAGCGACGAAAGTTGTGTGTTATATACAAATGAGGTCTCGACCCGACTCATGAAGCGTGAAAATATGATACGACATAGGTTCTGATTAGGAAAATTGCATAATTTGTATGGTAACTATAGGTAACGATGACACTATAGCCTGAATATCGGATTGATACACTGGTTGCATAACGACTTGGAGTGCTTCTCTCTAAAAATACACACGCCGATTGGGGTTGATGTTAAAAGTAATGACCCAGATGACGAATATTGCCATTTGGCGTTTAGCAGATGTAAAGAGCAACAGGAAAACAGAGAGGGAAACCATGACTCATACCGAGACTAAATCTGTATCCTGATGCTTCGGTGTATTTTAAAACTTCACTGGGCATTAGCGGCGGCAGGCTTTTATCAGCTTTATTATGACGGCCACCAACTTTCAACTCTTTAATGATGTTTTTTATGAACGATAACAGTAAAAGTAACAATGAAATTTTAGCACCAGTACCATCAGTGCCGGATTTAGGGGGGGGGCTATGAGACTATCAGCCCCCCGCGGTGAATTTCAAGAGACGGTAGAGAAAAAGAGAAAAGAGGAAAAGCAAGCAGCAATACAGTCGTTGACTGGTTGAGATACTGTTCTTGTGAAAATCCCTGTGGACCCTACAATACAAAAGCGGCGGCGGTACATACTATTATTTGATGATGAGAAAAAAACCGCATTCTACTCAGTAGAGTAGATGTAATTTCGTGATTCGTCTAACTCAATAACAAAAAACAAAATCAGAGTTCAGTATTCAATAGGTTGTCGTTGGTATTGTTGTTAATTGTTCTAAAAATTATTCAAACTGAAATTTTGAAAAATGAGTAAAAAAGATCGATAAACAAAAGCAGTTAGACGGAGTTGTCAAGAAATGCCCTAAAATACATACATTTTTTCAAAATTCAAATGAGACAGAATCAGAACCGACAGAACCGTCTCCGGGAACTTCATGCTCTCAAGACGGGAATGGAACACGACTAAGCTTTGTTTCAGGGATAATCACAACAATTTCCTAATTGATTGAATATTGGCAATTACTGAGAATTTATCAACTATATACCTGATGATTAGTAATGCCAGTGGTGAAAGGTCATTCTCAACATTAAAAAGATTGAAAAACTATACCTTTGGAATTCCATGGTAGAGGATACATTGAATATCTTATCAATTTCAAGTGACATGTCATTAAATCTGAATTTTGATTATGCCATTGACGACTTTGCATCAAAAAAATCAAGAAAAGTATTTTAGTATTCATCTGTTAATATGTAAAACGTGTGAAGTAAATATAATTTGATTCGTTGTACATGATGATTTCATGTTATATGCTGTGAAAAAAGCATTGAAAGGATTATTTGAATTTTGAAACTAAAAATAGAAAATTAAATATTTGGCGGCGGCGCGGCGATATCGTCAATGTTAGCCCCCGGCGTAAGGGAGTATAGAAATCAATTGTATAGTATTTTGAGAGTGACGAATACCTACTTATTATTTCGTTTCATATGGATGTTGCTGTATGGACCGAAAGATATTAAACATGAGCATTATAGATTTTGTGAGATAAAAGTTTTGACGGCCGTAAAGACTTCGTTTTTATTGATAATTAATGGCAGGAAGGGGTACCTACCTAGTTGTTTCTTCTCAAGCAACATTAATATTGATTTATGCCCATTGTACAAAATTCAATCCCTGAACTTTGCCATAAATTTTCTTGCACATAAACTTCGTACTTCGAGATGAAAGAACAATACGCAACCTACCAATAACGTTTACTGTGAATATAGTACTTCAGACCCTGAACGTTTTGACTGGTATGACGAAAATTATAGTGTAAATGCACTAAGCTCATAACAATGTATTGGAGTTAGTGTATACCGATTCCTTGATATTTTTTGAACGTTTTATGTCTGTTTTTCTTGAAGTACAGAAAAAACGATATATCTACTCATCTACCTAATGCCTTCAAAATGAAAGTTATTCACTATTGTCTGGCCTGGTATCAACTATCACTTCTCAAACATAGACGATAACACAACCTCTGTCAATGACAGACGTTTATCGAATGATTTTCTGTGCGAAAAGCTTCTTTTCCCACTCTGCCAGCTATTTTGAATTAAGTGAAGTGGTCGAAAACACATTTTCTGGTAATTTTAATGGTATATAAGGAATATTTCTCTTAATATTTTGTTTCAAACCAGTGCATCTACCCTATATGTGTCATATTTATTTAACGAAAGTTTCCATGATTTAGTTATTATTTATTTTATAGGTAATAAAATAAATTGTCACCTGGTAACAATCACTTACTGTTTTGATGTTTGGGGACGATTTTTATCGTGAAATATTGAAATATTCTTCTAATTTCGTGAATTTATTTCATATAGAGAAAACATCAAGGTCTATAGCTGAATTAGTCTAGAGAAGTGAAAAATAAACACAAACAAGAGGCAGTGAGTAGTGAGTCATCTAATGCCAAGAGCGTTCTTATGGTTGAGTAACCTGCATGAATGCTTGAATTGGCAAACTTTAATTAACAAATTGATAAGTTGAACTAACTTTGGACTGATGACCCTTACGGTGTTATAAATCCTAGAATGAACGTAAATATAAACAAAAAACAATATTTGTTAGCTATTTCATTGGCACGTCTCGATATAGTGCTATAACGTGATTCGTGAAAACATCCCGAAGGCCACCAAATATGCTGAGTGGCTATTTTCTATTCATAACTTATATTCCTAAACATTCAGTTCATTCATTGATACCTATTCACTAGATAAAAAAACATTAATTAGGTAATCATAGTGCTTCAATTCTTAAACAGAAATCCCAAATATAATAGATTCATCTAACCAGAAATGCATAAACATGGACCAACCCATTACTGATTTCGATAAAAGGCTAAACGGATATCAACAAATCAGTCGATTAGTCGATATTTATTGGATAAATCATTTATCTGGCCACAATCCCACTTAGATAATACAATGTCCCCCATCGTCTCCCCTAAAGGCATAACACGATAGCTCCCTCATGACTAATACAGTTTACATTAACATTAGACAATCTA